TGACTTTCCCACAGACACAGTTCATGTATCCCAGAGTCTAAATAAATCCAAACAAATGAGGAAGATACACTCTCCAAAGAGTAACAGTCTGCCCATGAAACACAATTCTGCTGCTTATGAAATATAACCCTTAGATACATTTTTTTTTCCCAGAGTGGGGGGAAGAAGAAAACAAGATCTTGGGACCTTGTTCTGAATCTTTACTCTGGACTGGACCACATATTGTTTGTAGGTGACACTGTACTGTGACAAACAAAAGTTTCTCAAAAGTAGTATAAGATAGAATCATAGGATGGTTTGGGTTGGGAGAGACCTTTAAAAATAATCTAATCCAATCCACCTGCCATCATTAGATCAGGTTGCTCAAAGCCCCATCCAGTTTTCAATGATGAGGCAACCACAACTTCTATGAGCAGCCTGTTCCTGTGTATCACCACCGTCATTGTAAAGAAATTCTTCCTGAAGTCCAACCTAAACCTTCCCACTTTCAGTTTAAAGCTCTTGCCCCTTTGTCCTGTCACTTCAAGCCCTGGAAATTACAGCCCTAAGTATCACAATGACTACTGCAACATGAATGCAAGAGACACTGTCCTCGATTAGCTGGAGGTTACAGTGGGCTCAGGACTGCAGAAGTCACCATGTGCTTGGCCTCAGCTGGCCTTTTCAATGACATGGGCTGCTGCTTCATGTCCAAACACTGTGCATGCATCCTTGGCTGTCTTGTCTTTTAGCTGTCATGGCAAACGTAAACTATTACTCTTATTCCAAGTCCCTCAGAGTCTACCTCTACTCTGTTTTCTCTCTTTCAGATTCAAGAGGACAGCTCCCGTGTCTGTAAAACCAAGTCTGAACCATTGGTCTCTCTTTGCACAAACCACTCAGCAAGAGGGCTGAGGTCTTGTACTAATATACCCAGGTGGAGGAGCTGACATTATGCAATGATTGACTTTTTTTTTAAATAAACAGAAATAATATAAAGGCACAAAATAAGGAACAACTTCTGACACCTATATGCATTTGGTCATTCACAGTACAAGTGAAACTGGTAAGCTGCCACTAAACCCAAGCAAATATTGTAAAATGAACATTATAAATAAATAATCTTTCTCTAACAAATGAAGACTGAAATAATATTCACAGAGGTTGTATGTTCTCTTAGTCTTCATGCTCAAACTTCATGCTCCCACTTCTTTATCATAACTGAATTCACTACTTCCTCCTCTTTAGCAATTTTTTTCTGCTTTCTTCTTTTTCTTTCTAAGTCTAATATATTGAACTTTTTTCTCTACTTGGACCAAAGCACAACTAGAAATGCTTGAAACTCAATGATACTGGTGTGCTTTTTAAGGTCATGAAACTTTAAAATGGCTACATTTAACACAGTGATAAGAAGCCACTGCAATGCCTTGGGAGATGCATTTCCCAAACCCTAGGGAAAAAAAGACACTGTCTAAAATGTTTCTTGCAAATGTGTTTTTTGGAAATTGTTACTCAAAAGCTAATCACTGAATTAACAATTATTTTATGTTTACTATTCCTGGTAATGGCTATGACTGTGCTCCTAAGCTTTTGAGAAAATATGTAGCAATAAATAGGGAATTAATAAGATAAGCTCAATCAGTAATTATGAGAAAAGGTTCAGGATATGAAACACTGATTTTTGTTTAGCCACCGCTGATTCTTTTTTTTTTAATAAATTACACTCTAAATAACAAGCTATGTCCATTTAGGGAAGGAAGTAGATAATTATCAACTGTCTTTTAGCACGGCTCTGTTGTTTTTATGCTTTTCTCAATACCGCTTATTTATACATCTCATGTGTAGGAAGATTAGTCATGTCCTTCTAATGAAATTCCCATTTATCCTTTTACCCAGTGCCTCTTTGTCTGTCCAAGTTGTTTTTTTTAAAATTGGTCCAGGCACAGAAAATAACATGAATTTTAGATGTTCACAATGGATGTCCATAATGGATTCAGTTCACATACTTAAATGTTACTACTAAAGAGATTAGAATTCTTATTTTTAAGAGGCAGCCTCGAATAAACAAATCTTCATATATCTAAACCTAATGGATGGAAGGGAAGGAAACGTTTATGGAAGAATCAGCTTGTCTACTTCTCTACTTGAACTGACCAGAAATGCACATACACAAAAAAATGCAGAACAAAGGTGACAAGCCAAGAATATCATGGAAATGGTCATGAGCAAGATTATTCAAAGTATAGCAAGGTTGCTTTCAAGCTTTTATGCATTTTTGTTGCTCTTGATCCTTTTATTTTACCAGGGAACGCACAGGGTTTTCCATGTGTCCATTGCTGTAGATGAACATAAAGCCTAGTGCAGCTTCAGGAATCTGCTGCATATGTAAAGTATTTTAACCCTTGGAATAAAATCCCTTTTGCAATTGTTTCTTCAAGGAGGAACCCACTGAAAGATGAGGAGAAGGGGAGCTGTGCACAAACTTCTTCCAGCATGTGACACACAGTGAGCACCACACTGAGCTGTGCTAATGGGGAGGCTGTAGTCCTCCCTAACCCTGAGCACAAATCCACCCCTGCAGTTCCCACATTGATTCTGGCACACATCATTAGGTCTTTCTTTGATCACAACCTGTTATTAATGTGAAAGGCTTAATACATTCCCTAGGATGTACTTTTAGCTCCAGTGGTTTTAAGACATACTGGGTGCAGGGAAAAGACAGGCTTGAGACAGGAAAATATCATGAAGTTTTAGGGCTACAATCACTTCACATTTCTTTGGAGTACTGAGAAACCTGAGTCTCATTTAGAAAGCAAGTTCACTGTGCACAGCATAATCTGCTCAAAAGATCTCCATCACAAAGTCAAGAAAACATGCTTATAAATGCAATGGCTGACAAAGAAGGCAGTTGAAAAATGACTTCACAGAAATATAAACAGGAAAATAAAGCAGATACTCCTACCTACAATTTATGGAGAGAGTTAAAAAATCAGATAAATCCTTGAAATCAGCAATGTCTGGCTTCCAACATACTTCTTTCTCACTGCTGATTGACTTTGTCACCTGAGATCACGTGAGCACTACCTGAAGGTCATCCCAAGGCAGGCCACATACAAGCACTCTCTTCAACACCAGTTCTCTCTCTGAAAATGTCAACTCCCCTTCCAACTTTTCCCAGAGCAGGGACAGTGGCAGATAAACTTCAAGACAATAACTACAAATGTGAAAGCCAAAAGGGGTGACAGAAGAGAATGTGAACACCCATACACATAGCATGATGACAAAATCTCATTTCTATACTGTACATTTTAAAAGCCTCAAACTACAGGCTACCTTAAGGAAATTTATTGCTCTTAACTGTAGTATGCATTATATGGTTATAGGAAAAATGCAGATTCTCATTCTTTCATCTCAATAGCCGCCTTCTTTCCCTTTTTACCAATTGTCCCTGTTTCTCTATTGCCTGCTCCCTCTATCCCCACATTCTTCCATCCCTGATTTTGGGTGCAGGTACAGGTAAATGGCATTTCATGTGTTTCATTTGTTTTTATGTAGAAAAATATTTGAAGTGAGAGTGGAGATGGATGCTGTTAATTCATACCTAATTTCAAGCAAGAACTTATTTCAGTACTTTTCCTCTCTGTGTGGTATTGTTATTGCATCTGATGAATGATCTTTTTATTATTTTGAACATGATATACTGTTAATAGCTAACAAAACTTTAGTGTTTATTAAAACTAAACCTGGTTCTTCACAAAGACGGCACACTGAAGGAAATGTCCTGAAAATCAGTTTCACTCACATTTTCAAATCATTTGGATACAGGTAGGAAAGAACAACTGGTGATATCTTGTACTTACTAACAGGATCCCAGACTAAAAATATGAGA